TAAAATGTGTTCAATAAATATAATTTGTCTCATTAAATAAAACTTTATTAAAAATTAATAATCTTAGGCTAGAGTAAAACAAAATAAAACAACCATAAAATATACACGTGTTTTGATTAATTGTTTTTTGGTCAAGTTCCTAGTGATACCACATACTATTACCATTTCTAAGACATAGATCGTTTGTCCTCTTGGTGTAGTATCTTCAAAATGTAAATGGTGAACTATTTCAACAACTCTGCTCACAATTCCTAAAATCCTCTGGGGCAATATTTGCAAGTCAATGTTGTTGCATTACTTCCTTACAATGTCACAAATTTTAAATGGGTTATTTTTCCGAAACCCAGGATTTGAATAGCAAATTTCTAAGTACCATTGTGCTATATATTTCATGAAAACATCAACACTGTCGATTAATTATCTTCAATAACTTGCTAAATCAATGACATAAGATATAATGTCAGAATGAAATAAATAAGAATTGAATAAAATGAATAGTTAAGATTTTTATGCTAATTCATCTTTCTAAAAATCACATGCATTTTGCATTCATGAGATAAATATAAAAATTACATCCTTCAGAAACTGCAACGTGAATAGATTGTGCTATGCCAGTAATGCTTCTATATATGTTAAGAAATCTTACTGTATAAAATATAGAGGATTAGCAATTAATTAAAAATTAAAATACAACAAAATTTCAAGTGATACTAATACCTTAGGTAAAAGATTATGTTTCTCCTTCAACTAAGGATGTAGGCAAAATGTAAAGTAACACATAAGAACAGACACTATGTCAAATAAAAACATTACAACTTTAAGATTTAAGAAAAAACACTTTTTGACAGCAAATCTGATCATACTAGAATCAAAGGTATAGTTCAGGATAATGATAATTATCCTATTAAATCCCACACAACAAGGCTAAAAATAAAAATATTTAATTTTCTCTACTTATTACAATTTGATTTAAGTATTAAATTTGTCTTAAAATATGTACCAATAAAGGTTTAACATGATCTGCATCTAAGAAAAAAGTATGGACTCCAACTTTTAGAAGCTGTAAGAAAAGTATTAAAATTGTATTACCAATATTATAATACTTTTCCTTCAACAATGTAAACAAAAGTGATAAGTTTTCAATTTTATGCTCTCTGATTTTCAGGAAATAAGCATTTTTTATGAAATGTCAATCCTAAAGGTTAAATTGACCGCTGAATTTCCCCCATGTCAAAATAAAAATAGTGTGGGCCATTTCCTTAACTGAAAGAAAATTTCCCTTACATTCTGCTTTTTCATAATTTTAAAAAATGTAATAGATAAATGATTTATGATTTTAAAAACTGGGGGGAGTGCCACCCAAATTGGACTTGGGTGATAAAGTGATTAAACCAAGATAAAATGAATCTGGGAGTAACAATTTCAAATTTTAACCTAAGACTATAAAAGGAAATAAGTTATGTTAAATATAATCCAGTTTTATGAATGCAAATGTGAAAAAAGTCTTAAATACATACAGATTCTACTATTATAGTGAAGGATTCTTGTTTGATACGATGAATATCTCCAATGTCTTCTTACAGAACAAAAATAGGTACACTATGACGTTTTAATATCTAAGGCAGACATAAAAATGTTTATTTTATACATCCTTTATTATTCCCAACTAATAACATATTCATTAAGTTTTTCCGATTACCTACTTGACCATCCATTAAATAATTTTTACAAATAAAATCTATTTATTAATGAAAACTCATCATGTTTGACGCCAAGAAAAAGAAGAAAGAGAAAAAACCATCGCCATTCTGAAAATGCATACAGTAATATATTCCCCAAATTGAGAAAGCTGCTTTTTACTACAAAGCAACTTTATATAACATGTTATGAACGAATATACAAATAAATCAAGTTAAGTTTCTCCAATCAAGTAAGAAAAAGAAGATACATTTCTAAACTACCAGTAATAAATTGGTATTCTGTAAGATTAGATTTTTTAAAATAGATAAATGAATTACACAGCACAGCAAAAAGCAAAATAAATCTACTTGCAGATCATTTTTTTCTGTGTATAGTAACTGAAAAAATGCACTTTATGATCTTCATCATACAAGTTTCTCAATTACTTTTATTTAATGTGTGACACACCGAAGCATACAATACACTACACACCTGTACAAATTCTAAAATCATATCAAGTAATGGACAAAATGTTTCCTTCATTTCAACCAAACTTTAAAAAATATGACTCAAAAACACAGGGTTGCTTTCAAGATTTTAAAGACATAGCCTAAGAGGGTTAAAAAAAGAAAAAAAGGAAAACAAATTTGAGGTTATATTGGCTACAATTTTTAAACTATACCTATCATTTGAATTAAAATTTATTAAATATCCCCAAAGTGTTATTGTATTCTGTGTTATACATCCTGGAGAAAGTTTTCAAAACCACATTAGTATTTTAACTAACACAATTATGTTTGGTTTCAAAATTTAGGTACTTTGAGCAAAACCATTAAATTATACAATTTAAATATGCTTTTTCCCAAAAATACTATGTTATCAAAGGAGAAACAGTAAAGAATTTCACAAAATAAACTTCAGCATATTCATTCTAATAGAATGAGTCATAAATATATATATGTATATACACACACATACACATACACATCTGAAAGTCACAAAAATGGAATTCCAAATTTTTGCATAATCCTACAGGAAATTCCTTATATCTGGGTTATAATAATCATAGCTTTATAATTTAGCTTATCTGAGATGTGCAAAGTAAGAATACCATATGTATATCTGAGTAACACAAGTTGAAAGAAGCTCAGATGCTATTATATTGCAGAATACTAAGACCTTAGATAATTGCACAGGCTGTGGTCAAGTGTGAACAGAAATAATATTAAAATTAAAGTCTATCTGTAGAAGAAAGATATATCTATCCAAACAGGTAATAAACTGAAATCATTTTAATACTACATCCTCGGAATTCTTAAAGCTTCTTATAAACTAAAGACTTTATTTTATTCTTGAAATTGATTCCATAGGGTGTGATCGGTTTCCACCTGTTACAAGCAAAAAATAAGCCTTCTTTTATCTGACATTTCAACTCCCATTTGATCAGGTTACGTCACTACACTCACAAAATTTTATTCATCGCATTCCAGATTTCCATTTTGTTTTCCAAGGGACATTCTCTTGCTTTACAAAAATAAMATGCCTCAGAACTATAAATAAAATAAGCAATTTCTATGTAATAAAAAAAAAAATGCAAAACTAAGTGGACTAAAAACAAAAGATCTAATTCTCATTGCACCCTTTCCAACCCACTGAAAATAAACTATATTCAAATGAAAGGCATTTAATTTACTATTTGGAATATCTTTGATAAACACTAATTTTCTGTAACATCTCTGCACATCTGATACCACCTCATGTATAATGCAAAAAAGCTTTTTCATTTTCATCTATTGACAGTGAATTTAATTTACCATTGCAGCTCTTTTCCTAGAACTATCACGTTATTAATTCTGCAATCAAGCTCTTTTGAGTGCTTTTATTTGAAGTAAGGGTTTTCACAATTCCACATTGATTTTTTTCTACCATAATATACCTTTTAAACATATGAGTGTGAATATGTTAGCAAACTTTCCTAATGCATAAGGAAAGTTTCAGAGACATGGAAAGCCAACTGCAAAACTATACTCATAGGAAACAAACTTTAGAGAGACAGCATATTTAACAGATTACTCTTTAGCTTAATGAATTTAATGTTTACCAAAAATACCACACTTAATTTATATAACTAAATGAAAGTTTCAACCATTGAATAATCTTCTTCTCCGGTATAATGGTCCATTTCTACCACCAAACGATTGGCTATCAAAAAGAAGTCCTCCAAATGTTCTGCTTATATTCATGCCAGATGTCTTTGCTGTATTAAAGAACTCTTACGGAATTAGATCACTAAAAGCAAATCAGCTTTTCTTTTCCAACAGGAAAAAAAATAAGCGGCATCAGTCCCCTCAGCATTGACTTAATATTTTTATAACCATAAAGTAAAATAAATTCCCAAAAGGCAGAAAGCTAGATCTAAGTAAAAGCAAATCAGCTAGTAATGTTTTATCTAGTGTAGCTATTGTACTATGGAGATTTCTCCATCAAACTTAAAAAAACATATATTGAGTAATAAAATTGTTTAAAGAAATAGAAGAGAAAAAGATATATATATATATATATATATATATATATATATATATATATATATATATAACTGCATAACACTTAGAAGAAAAAAAAAAACCCAAAAGTAAAAGGCAAACACAAAATTACCACCTAAGAAACTTGCCATACTCTAGTAGGTTAGTGTATCACGCTATTAACATATTTTAATCAAATGTCTTTTAAGAAACACAAATTTTAAAGCATTATTTTACTTCTTGCATAATAATATAGTAAATTTCCTTATACCATTTACATCAAACCCAAATATTTTAAAAATCTGAAGAGGCAGCACTTGTCCTCTTTACTTCATCCAAGGCCAACAAACAAAGCAATGAAGCAGAAAGAGGTACATAATGGATTCAGAAGTAAATGGTCCATTCTTTAAGAAGCCTCCCTACCCCCTCTCTTCTGAATTTGCTCTAGACTAATTGTCATTACAATGATGTCTGAAACTTCAGAAGAACCCTATTTCCTGATGCCAGCTGTCCAGGTTTCTATCTTTCCATTTTTGAGGGGGTTTTTTTCCCCAATAAGAAGCATTGAGAAATATCCAAAAGAATAATCTTGTAATTAGTCTAAATCACATAAACAGTATATCAAGTATAGAAAAAGACATAATCAACAATGTAAATATGCTGAAAAATCTTCCACAATATACAACAATATGTCTTTACTATTGTTTAAAAAACTCTTTCAAGACAACACAACACATGTAGATTTTCTATTTCTTTCCTTGGAGATTGATCAAACAATCTCTTCACCAGTGCACCTACCTGGGTAAAAATCTTTGGACTTAGACAGCTTGATGGTGGCTCCAGTTTCTTTTTGCAACTGAACAATTGTCTGTCCTCCCTTCCCAATTATAGATCCAGCAGCATAACTAGGTATGAGAACCTTTAGAAAATACTGGCCGTCTTCTGAAAAATGCAAAGAAATATACTCGGTTAACATGATGTTTAAAAACTTTGTACCCCCACTCCACCCTCAGGAGAGAAAAACAACAACTAAAATATTGGGCATAAAGCTGTAGGAAAAGGGTATTAAAATTTTTTAAAGAATAAAAATAAACCAATTACACTAAAAAATATGTACAAAATGTTTCCCATTTTGTAGGATTTATACTTTCAAACTTGGAATTAAAATCTAAACATGTTCTAATATTTTGTAGCACTGTAGGAACTGATGACTAAATTCCAGTTGTTATTCCAAACATGGAAGTCTTCCAATTCTATCTGTGGTTACTATAGCAAAATGAAAGGGACTGACCCTTTAACAAAACTTCAAAGATTCATAAGATGACAAACCTTCACTTAACATATTGAAGAAGAAAAAAACAGAATTGTAAACAGCGATGAGCTAAATTTGTTTGTCATTAGCAAACACATAAGAACTACAATTAGCCATTGCCTATATCCAACTTAAAGTACGGAAAACAACCATTCCCCTTCCAAATAATCCACCCAAACTGTAGGATATATTCCAAGCCTTCAGTAAGTGCCAGGAAACAACTCGATGTGGTGGACTGACAAATCTAACTAATCCTGATGTATTTCTTTAGCACTTCTTAGTCTACTATGATCTCCTAAGCTCATTAATTAAAGAACCTTAAGAAGAATTTTGCCAATACTAAAAAGCTTAGGAGTCATTTATATGAAATACAGTTGAAAGTGACCAAAGAGATACTGTTCCTCCTCCAAAAATCATAAAACGGAGAGGGGATCGATGAACAGAGAAAAAGAAAAATGCAATGTTTTAGAAAATAAAACCAACTCCATAAACTTTAATTTCCGCCAACCTGAGCATATCTTAAATACAAAATATCCCTGTAAATCCAGGTTTTTAATGTGAATGAATATTCCAAATTTTGCGGTGTGCCACTCACAAGACCCCCATCCGTTTCTAATGTATATGCTGGAGATAAATTCACCTCTGCTTCGATGCATTGGGTGCATTGTTAAGATGACTCCAGTGCAAATGAAGAAGCGATACCGGTCCCGTTATAACTCATCTTCCAAGGAAGCGCAGGATGTTAACTAACAAGTCACCGTACCAGACACCCCCCTCGTATGCACACCCTTGAAGACAAATCAATGAGATATTTGTACCGACAATATAAGTGCGGTAAGGGCATGCACTCATCAAGATTTTGCATACTACTTGTAACCCAAAGCAAGGGATGGACAGAGGAAAAACTCTCCGGTGCCCCAATCATTCGCAATCCGCTACCCAAGTGCCATTTATTTATTTATTTTATCAGACTGTTAAATGCAGCGCGCATCTTCCAGCGGCCATCACCTCACTCGGGGGTCATCCTCCTCCTCCTTAACGGACCCTATTGCCCAGGTCTAGGATATTTAAATGGTCAGTTTCTAGACCGATTAAATGTAAAGATAGGTCTATTCCGAAAAACTGGTCGCCATTTTGATGAATGATAAACACAGAAATGGAAATGTGTCGGGGACGGCAAGGCTCGGGGCAGGTGCAGGGGAGGGGGCGCGGGAGCCGCCGGGCTCCGGCTGGAGGTGTCCGGGCCGCGGGAGGGAGGGCGGGCGGCGGGAGGGAGGGAAGCAGGGCGGGCGGCGGGGGATGGGGCCGGCGGGGAGGTGGAAGCGATACCCACCGCCCGTATTGGTCCTCTTGGTGCTGCCGGCTTCAGGGGGGGCTTCCAGCGGCCTTTTCCGGGAGTCCGGCGGGTCCAGGTCTATGGGAACCCCAGTGTGGGTCCCGTTCTGCTGGATGGGAGCTGCCGCCATCATGTTTGCAGTTCCTGCCGCTGCTACGGGAGAAGGTTCTCCCTTTTGTTTTGGCTTTTTCTTTTCTTTTTTGCGCTTGGGGTTTCTTAAGGTTTGGGTTTTTTTTTTTAATCGGATCAATAGAAATCTCTTTAGGAAAAAAAAGCAATGTTGCTGGTTTGTTCTCACTGGGGAGGGGGCAGGGCTGAGGAGCAGCTGCAGTGCAGTGTCAGAAAGGAGACAGGGGAATGGAGGGGGTGTGAGAGACGGAGGGTGAAAGAAGGAGAAGAAAGGAGAGAGGGGGAGAGAGTGGAGAAGGGAGAGGGGCGAGTGAATGAGCGGGAGGAGGGGAGCGGGGAGGACGGGCAGAGGGAGTGGGAGAGCGCGAGGGCTGGCGGGGCGCGGGGAGAAGCCGAGGAGGAGGGGAGAGTGAGGGAAAGAGTGAATGAGCAGGAGGAGGGGAAGGAGGTGGAAGAGGAGAGGAGCGAGCGGCGGAGGAGGGCAGGAGCCGGGAAGGAACGCGGCGGTCCCCGCGCCGCGCTAGCGCTGCGCTCGCTCCCGCTGCTGGTGCTGCCGCCGCCGCCGCTGCCGGAGCGGTTCTGCCGTTGCCTGGGCTGCTCGGCGCTGCTGCCGCTGCCGCCCGGTCTCGCTCATTATTTCTCCCGCTTGTGGGGCGGGGGGGGGGG